ATCAGATCCACAGGACCTTGTAGCTGGCAGGAGAACAGCTGGTCCCGAAAGACACGGGTGGCCCTTGAAACGGCACCGTGAGATTCTTCCACCTCTGCTCTTTTGCAGACATCACCCCGGGCAGGAATCCACTTGGTGCCGGGAGAGCCATTTTTCTTAAAGCCAGAGCAGCCTCCTCGGTCCTGAATGATAAATTCAGACAGGCACTCAGGAAGAAGACATGGCAGCCAAAGCAGCAGAAAAGAAGCAAGGTAGATGTCTCCCCCACATAGCCAGGAGGCTGAGGGAGGACTTCCCAGGATCCCTTCCCTGGACCAGAGACAGAGATACAGGGCTAACAAGGAGATAACTACTCCCAGTATATTAGACACAGCACGGGAACAAGCTGCAGCCCTGGGCTCCCTGGCAGCGAACGAAACAGGCATTATGAAAGCAACAGGGACAGAGCCGGACTCACCTTTCCCTTTCAAACTCTGCTCCTCCAAGAAAGGACAATAGCGAGGTGATAAATGCAACTAATTGTGGGACTCAGGAAGTGTGTGAGTTGCATCCCTTAAGACAGAAAGGGAACTTGAAACTTGAGGGGCTTGGGCTTTCCTGGGGAGGGAGGCGGTAACTGCCAGGCTTGTTTATCACCTGAGCAAACAGTGATAAACTGCTTAGTCATCTGGGTGTTTCCAACTACCCACCCCTCCCAGCCCCCCGACCCCACGACCCCACAGGGAGATGTTTGAGTTAGTGCGATTCCATGCGGGGGAGATACCCACACTGAGAAAGCAGCGGTCAGAATCTTTTGGCTTCTTTCCAATGGAAAAAATTAAACCTGTTATTCAGGGTCCACTGCCCAGGGCTGGGACACTGTACTGGCCAGCGGTGATGGTAGGGGAAGTGGGACAGTGAGAAAGGGCACCATGGGAGAAAGCAGGAGGCAGTCGTGAGATGATGGTTTCCAGACAGCCGCACCCTCACACCCTGGAGTGTAGACACACGCGGGATGTGTGTGTAAGTGAAGCAGGGACCAGGGCTCTCAGCTGAAATGAGATGGAATGTCTGGGATCGGTTTTCCAAATTGTGTGGCACCATCTTGGAATCATTTCCTCCTTTGTTCGTTAGTTTATGATCTGAGAGCTGTTGCCAACGGTAGTGGAGAAAAGAGACTAAATATTCCAGTGGACTGATGGCTGACATTTATCTTGGGGAATCAGGTTGTCAAGAGCAAACAGGAAGGCTTTTCACCTTTCTCTCTCTCTCTGATTCTCGTTTCTTCTAAGGATGTGTTTGACCCTGCCCACCACCACTGAGCTGCCTGCTTCCCTGCTTTAACTCCCAGCAGAAGTACCTTCTCAACTCAGACCAGAAGCAGGTTACCTTAGAGGGGAAGCCCAAAACCTTAGGGGCAGAGGGACAACCAAAGATAAAAGTATCCGGGTCAGGGGTGCCTTGCTGGCTTAGTCAGAATGGCATGCAATTCTTGATCCCGGGGTTGTGAGTTTAAGCCCTACATTTTGGGTAGAGATTACTTAATATAAAGTCTTAAAAAAAAAAAAAAAGTATCCAGGTCAGTTCCCAGGTTCTCCTCCTTCACTCTATCTACAGCCCTTCTCCATAGTTACTGGACACCCTTAGAATTCCAACCTAAAACAAATGAGTCTCCTATCCCCTCCCACTGCCAAGATGGGTCCCAATTACTTGGCATCAGAGACGTTTACTCAGGGGCTCAGCTCCTTACAATTCATCTGGTCTTTGGAACCCTCGGAAACACTCTTAATCAGACTTTTTTCCCTAACGCCTCCCATTCCAATGCAAGAAAACTCAATCCCAGGGAACTTCACAGTAGCCTTCTCTTCTAATTTCTGATGGGCTCCAATTCCACATCCTGCCTATGGGCGTTGGGATTGAAGTCTGGAGTTCTGGAAGCATTGGCAGTAGACGGTGTGACTGCACCACACTTGTTATATAGTGGAGAAAATTCCAAGTTGGGAGATCAGTCACAGATATTAGCTCACCTGGCTCAAGCTCACTCACTAACACACAGTTGGAAAGAAGCGTTACCAAAGAGATGAGTCAGCTGGCACTGTTCCAGATCGCTGGACCGAGTGGACCTGTGCTCTCGTGGCTGAATTAAGGAGCATGTTGGAGTTGGACGTTGACTTTAGGGGAGAAACACAAACTGTACCATGAGCATTTGAGGACCATTTGGCTTGGTGTTTACATTTATTTCAGTTCTTACGATTGCTCTAGATTATTCCAGCCCAACATTATATCTTTGTCGGCTGAACTCATGGGTACTCAGCATGTGCCCTGGCCATTTTCCACAGAAACTAGAGGCCTTCCCTTTACTCATACCAGCTCATGCAACAACAGCCTGAAACCCCAGGGCCCTAATTTCCTTTCCTGAATTTACTGGGCTTCACAAAGAAGGATATCAGAGAAGGCCACTCAGGCACTAGAGAATCCTCCCACCCAAAGTTGAACTTTTTATTCTAAAAAAACAGAAATCAACAGATCAGGACAAAGGTGACTAAATCAATAAGAGCTTTATTTTATTTTATTTCATTTCATTTCATTTTTCGAGAGGGGGAGAGGGAGCACCTGCGTGGGTGGGGGAGGGGCAGAGATAGAGAATCCTAAGCAGGCTCCATGCCCAGGGCATCAGGCTCCATCTCACAGCGGTGACAACATGACCTGAACCAAAATCAAGAGTCAGACACTTAAGTGACGGAGTCACCCAGGCGCCCCTCAACAGGAACTTTTTAAGCAGGCCTTTATAATATGTGTTTTTAAAGCCAGGATATTGACATGTAATTTAAGTTCCATGAATTTTGTGATTTGTTGGGGGGGAGGGAGTGGTTTGTATTTTTACTTGTGATAAAATACGCATAAGAAAATGTGCCATTCTAACCACTTTTAATGTATAGTGTTAAGTACATTCACGTTGTACAACCAATCTCCAGAACTCTTCATCTTGCAAAACGGCAACTTTATACCCATAAATAATAGCTCCCTGTTCTCCCCCAACCCCAGCCCTTGGCAACCATATTTCTCCTTTGTGTCTGTATGAATATGACCACTCTAGGTACCTCACAAAAGTGGAATCTTCTGATGTTTGTCTTTTTCTGACTGGCTTGCTTCACTTAGCATAATGTTCTCAATGTTCATCCATGTGTCAGAATTTCCTTCCTTTTTAAGGCTGAATAATATTCCACTGAATGGATATACCACAGTTTGTGTATCCAGCCAGCCGTTAATTGTCGTTTGGGTTGCTTTCACCTTTTGGTTGTTGTGAATTATGCTGCTGTGAACATGGGTGCATGCCTATCTCTTCAAGACCCTAATTTGTATGGTTTGTGTCTTTTAAAATTGAGTGAGGGAAGGAGCCTACAAGAATCCCATGTCCCATGGTTTTACATTTTTTTACCATTCAGGAAAAAAAAAAATCAGGAATGCAGCACTAATTTCAGCAGGCAACCTCTTTCCAGCTTCTTACCGTGCTGACTTTTTAAGGGCTTCTTGTGCTTCAGTGCTTTGTGAGTACTTTGCAAATTGCCATTAATAGAAGGTAGCAGCAGTCGGGACATAACTCAGTGATTGAGACACTGATCAAAGACGAAATTATCAGGGACTTAGTGTATTACTGAAACCCACTGTTCCACTTTCCCTTCACGCAGGACTTGAAATCCCACACCATCCTTCCCCAGGTCAAGAAAGCACGTGGTCCGAGGGTAAAGTGGGTGAAGTCCAGCGACAATCTGCTTAACCACTGAGTGCCCTTCTCACTGGCAAAGACCTATAAATAACACCTGTGATCCTGTTTCAAAGTTAGCAAAGAGGCAAGGGCTCAGGGGTCACTAAAATAATTTCATGAACAAATTGGTCCAAAAAACGATCTGTGACTACATCTGAGAGGAGCCAGCCAGCCATGTGGACAGATGAGACTCCTCCCCTGCAGAATCAGCCTCTCTCTCATGCCCTACATTGTCTGCACGTATGTATAAGCTATATTCTAGATCATTTGGCATTCAAATAGCTAAGTCGGCTCCTCTCAGCTCAGAGATGATTGGGGAGCTGAAGTGTTAGCGTTCTGCCCTCCTACAAGGAGGAAAGAGAACAGTTCAGGAACCAGAGAAAAGCTTATTCATCTCATCTCATCTTTCAAGACCCTGAGACAGAATCCTCCACAGCCCCCCCAGACACAGGGTCCCCCAGCATTACATGCACAGAAATCAAACGCATATCCATTATCGGAGAAATTGCAGGGAAGTGGGGCTATGGTGACAGATTTTGAAGAGCAAACATGCACCTTTGTGCTGTGTCTTCTTAAAATTCATCCTCTCACCTGCCAGCCTTGAGAATTGCCTATTTACATAACTAGCTACCTAAAATGGCATATTAGATAATGTTACATGGTGCCTCTCTCAGTCTGAGCCCGTCCCCAGGACAGGAGTGATCCAGAAGTCCTCCAACAGCAGGTAGCATGGCTCGCTGGCCCGCAGCCATGCCTCCGTGCGCGGCGTGAGCCTGTCAGCGCTCCCGAGCTAAGCAGATGTCAGGCCTGATCGCCGAGGTGGGAGACCAGCGAGCAGCAGGGGGAGGGGATGTGAGTCAGCAAGTGGCATGGTGGCACACCCTCTTCAGGGGACAAACAGCATCTCTTCTGAGCTTCACAGCGGGCACCTTGTTCTGCCCAAGGTGCTGTCTCAGAGACCGCCGACATGTCAGGGCTGAGAAGGGGGAGCTGCAGGGTCTATGAGGACAGCCGGTACAGGAGGTAATCAGTCAGCTCCGATGCCATCCCTGGCGCTGCGCCAGCCTCGAACCCCCCGTTGGCCCTTTCCAAGGCACAAATCTCCCTCCCATCAAGGGACTGCGCTGCTCGCTTGTAAGAGGAGTATAAATAAGTGATAAGGAAGTGTTCTGATGAGGGTAAGCGGGTATAGCTTCTCAGCGGACCAGATGTATCAAAGAAGGCAATTGTGTGTGTCTATTCATTTATTTTTCAGCGTTCCGGTTCCTGTAGTCAGTTTAGAGAAAATCCCTAATCTAGTGAAGGCAGATGGTGCCAATGTCAAAATGAACTCAACAACCACTACTGCGGTCACCTCCTGCTCCACCTCGTCCTCTGCCGTCTCCATCCCACCTTTAATTAAGCCAGTCTTGATGTCTAAGTCAGTGCCACCCTCCCCAGAGAAGATCTTAAATGGCAAAGGAATTTTGCCCACCACAATAGACAAGAAACACCAAAATGGCACCAAAAACAACAACAAGCCTTACAGGAGACTTTCAGGTATGTGTCTGTGTCGTTAGAGTCGGACTCATGATTAGAGCGCCTCTGGGTCATATTCGTAACCAAGGAGCGGTGTGTTCTTACAATTAAACAGGTCTGTTTCATTTTAAGGGGGACACGGAATTTATGTGCAAACAGGACCCCTGCCTAAAAATGCGAGGGAGAAACGGTTCTCTTATTTCCGGGTCGGACGAGGTCTCTCGCTTGACTCAGTGGGAGTTGATCCTCTTGACCCGGGAGGCAGGATGCTTTCCACCAACCACAACAGCCCATGCATTGTGATGGTCTTACCGTGTGCTGACAGGCTGGCCTGTCCCTGGGTTTCCGTGGAAGCCTCAGTGCAGGGAAGGTGGACAACCATAATGATACCCCACAGTACCTCAGGGCGGGCTCGGGACAGTCCCATCTACCCCACTCTGTCCTTTGGTCTAGTTGGTTGCCATGTTGATTCTGTGGTCTGGAGCTACCACTGCCTTTCCCACATAATCAGGTTGGAATTGCCATTCAGGAATGCTTGGACTAGCACAGCAGGTGAGGTGTTGAGGGATTTCTCCCAGATCTACTTCTTGGTTGTCTGCATAGACACTCAGGATGCCTGGAAAGGTGCACTTGACCAGTCTTTGAGGCAATGGCTGCCCTTAGAGGCCCCCATAGGGATGATATTGGCTTTGGATTTGTTGTAGAACTAAATCTGGCAGTTCTGCTTCCTCCAAAAGACCAAGAAAAGCTATAAACTTTATAACGTCTTCACACACCATGGGCATTTATCAAATGTTGACTAGAAAAAAGAAAATACAATGAAAACCACCCTGTGAGAGAGAAACTGGGCCCTCTAGTAGGAGCATAATTCTTAATCAACCTAAGAATTGTGGGTCATTTTTATTTTGTACTTTGTGTTAATGTGTATTTTGGTTTTCCTGTCTTACATCTGTAACTTAAAAAAAAAAAAAATTATTTCTTAAAAGTACTTTGTCCCCAAAGCATTCAGAAAATTTTTACCCTAAAAATGTCTCTATGTACTATTCACCCACTATCAAGGAAGGAAGGTAGGGCCTGGCAGTCTCTTGGAGCCTTGCGGGGCCTCCCTGTGTAGACAGGAGCCCCCTACTCCTGGCTCTCTTCCTGAATGGAAAGTTCAATTTCACTCTGCAGAGCTGGGCGGTAACATCCCTGGAAAAACCAGTAGGCCCGGCTGGGCAGTGTCCAGAGGCAGAAGCGTGACCATGGCTGCCAGCCTGAACCCTGACCTGAAGTTATATTGGGGGGGGGGGCGGTTCTTGTTGTCTGTTGGTTTTGCATTTTGTTGGTTGTTTTGTCTCATTGGGTCTTTTGTTTCTATCTCGCTTGTTTCTATCTCGCTTTGACATTTGGCGGCCAGCTCCTATTGCCCAGCCAAGCAACCTGCTCAGTTGCGGGCCAGTGTGAGAGCTGGTGTGGATCCGGGCCCCGGTCTGACTCCGACAGGCCTGAGGGAAAGAACTCCATGGCAGGCAGCCTGGGGCCCGGCGCCCAGGCCCTCCTTGGTGGGCAGCGAGGGCACACAGGAAACAGGCGTCTCCAGGCCTCACAGTTTTCTAGTCCTAAAAGTGAAGCTAGAGAAAGGCGGGGCAGGGGGGCAGGGAGGGGGGGGGATGGTGCCTGGCTGGCTCATTCGGTGGAACATGCAACTCTTGATCTCGAGGTTAGGAGTTTGAGCCCCACATTGGGCGTAGAGATTACTTAAAAATCAAGTCTTTGAAAGAGAAGAAGATGATGATGACAATGACAAAAACAAAAAGAGGTGGGAGGCATTTTGATAGCCAACCAGGAAATCTGTCTTGGACATCAGAATGTTTTTTATCGAACCATCATCATCACCACCGATGCAGCCACCAGCACAACCCCCAAACCCTCTTTTAAAAACAGAACACATTCAGTTATTGTGCTCCGAGTAACCTCCTTTTAGTTTGCAGCTATTCAGACCTCTTAAGGAGACATTCCCAAATTTATATACAACCCCCGCCCGCACACCCACCCACCAACACGGCTGCCGGCCTCCCTGAATGCCCAGAAGAGCTGTGTCATCCCTGTGCTTCAGGACTCAGGTGTCTGCTGGGTGCCTTCCAGAAACAGCACAGACCATCTGAGAGGTGGACCTTTGAAGCCTAAAGGGTCCTTAAGGGATGGCCTCACTTCCCCTCCTTCTCCAGGGGGAGGGAGCATTGCTGTAATCCAGAAGGAGCAAAGGATCCATAAGTGGGCATAAAAAGTTCAGCGTCCTTAGAAGTAACCTCACCATGAGCCATCCACAGTCCAGGGAGAAGGCGGGAACTGGAGAAAGCCTAGCCTCTCTGCAGCCGCCCTTCAGCCCCAACAGGCTGGCTAGCCCTGGCTCATTCCCATTTGGAGCAACAGGGCCCGTGCTGGGTGCAAAGCAAGCTGGGAGACTAGCAGGCCCTGCCCTCCAGGCAACTTACAACTATGCAGACACACATAGAGCACACACCCGAACTTTCCCCCTGCCCCTGCCTACAACTCGGCCAGAACATTCCCGAATCAGGTAAACGACATTTCTGGTCAGCGAGGCTGCACGAAAAGCCTGGTGCTGAAGACGTGGCAAAGCACAAGAGAGGCAGGTCACACTGACCTGTCAAGGAATAATCTCCCACTTAAATGGCTAAAAACCAGCAGGAAGGCAAGGTGGGGGGAGCCGCCCAGGACACAGTGGCCCTTGGGCCTCAGGCCCTCTTCCTGGTCTGCAGCCAGCTATGCCCAAAGTGCCAAGTACCTGGGGAACTCTTCAAGTGACATAAAGTGTGACAGCGTCAGGGCTCCTCGCCCTCCGGTGCCTGCCCCCACCCTCCCCCCAGCCTTGTGCTGCATTTACATCCCTCCTGAAGCTGGACCTGGAAC